CTCGGTGAAATTGAGTTTGACACCCCTGCCTTACACAGAGGATCAGGGCTGCATGTCATTAAGAAAACATACATTATGCAATAATATTGGTGAATGTTCCATATGGCTCGTGATAAACACATAGTGTGTTAATGTATTTCTGCTTGGGTTTAGTTTGGTTTATGTTGCTTATTTCAAACATTTAATAATAATTAATACAGACTAACACAACCATTTGTATGAAAAGGTGGTAGGCAGACATATAAACTTGTTTGATTCTACCCCATATCTTACTTTACATATTATTTATTGCTTAAATAGATCATAGTAGTAGTTTACACAATCTAATCTTAGTTTCTTTATCATTTTACCAGAAAGAATTGCTGTCAATCGAAAACATTTTTCTATTGCTGAGGTATTACCAAATGTCCCAGTACCATTAAGAGTACTTATTTAGTATAGTACATATATAGTTAACTATTATTCAATGGAGTCCAGACGACTTTATCCAACACTGATATAATGTGGTAGTATATTTACGATGCATTATGAAGAACTAGTGAGAATAAAGAAGACAAAGAAAAGGTTGTTAATAATCTAAAGGCAGTTGGGGGAAAAAAAGTCACCAAGAACATCAGTGGTAACGCATTACTTGGTAACAAATTGAAATCTTGAAAGCTCTTTGCAAGTTATTAAAAGCTGAAACTTTTAAATGCCAAGCAGCAACTGGAAACGAGAATTTCTGGAAAGAGAATTGGATCAAAATCCTTTCTGTGGTGCGAGCAAACATCGGACAGGAAGTGATGCGCTTATTAGTCTACGTTTCTTACGTCTAGCTTGGGGATGAAAATACTCATGTCACTTTTCATTAATAAGTTTCATCTGGATTTTGACTGATATTCTTTGTCCATTAAAATTCCTATTCATTCTTTTTATTTCAGCAAAATTTAGTGGGGAAGCAAACATGTATTTTCAGGTTTTGGTTTTGTATGAAGCTGCGTTGCCTACCGAAAAAAATGCATTGTTACATCAGACTAATTTAGTGATATGCAGTTCTGATGGGGACGTTTGACATGAAAAGTTAATTGCTGCCCCTCGGGCACTGTGCCACCGTAATTTAAAATGAAATGGTGTTAAAATCATTATACTGTCAAACATCAGGTTTAATGAAAATCTGCGGTGCGTACAAACTGCAATAATAGAGCAGACATTACTTCTACTGTAAAACCTTGTTGTTGTTTTTTTACCTGCGCAAACATCTGTTTTAGCATCTTATATTAGCAAATAGAGCAGTTAGCACTTCTAAAACAGCAATCTTTCTGTATATGATCAATAAAATATTCCAGTCAGCCTGTCACTTACAATAATTAACAGAAATAAAGGATTTCAAAGGTCCGTCTGTGTGTAATTAATATATACACTGTGTTTCACTTAGTGATGAAGTTCCTGAAACAAATTGAGTAAATATTTTAATTTATTGAATGGGTCTGCAAAGGCTAAAGTGATCTAGACAAGAACCCCATTATCATACCATTACCCAGTTTTTATAACATAATTACTCTCTAACCTTACTCTTCACTCCAGCCGTCAAGATTCAAGAAACATGTTTCTGACATCACTGTGTTCAGATTTTGTCTCGTTAGATGCCTACCATCTGGTGAGGATCCCTCCCCATGACTCCAGTATTTTCTCCGGACAGTCCTTGGAGACATCTCCAGTCCCACTGGAGATTTCGCTGTCACTATCTGCAGAGAAGAAGATGTATATAGAGACACATTAATCCAGTTTCATCAGATAAAACTGTTACTAGCTGTTTTATCTAGCTGGTCCAGTAAGGTGAGGAAAATGTGCAGCTTAGGATTGTTTCAAATCTTTTACCACTCATTTCAAGAGGTCTGAAATTTTTTGTTAACTACCAAAGCCATTTCTCATTCTCCTGAAGTTTCAGGTGCAAAAATTTTGTGTTAAAAGTGGAAGCTTTGTGGGAGCCATCACTCAAGTGGAACAAGAATTACTTTGAAATTGCAAAATATATATTAGGCACTAAATAATAAATCAATCTAAACCCTTTTTGAGTCTTGCAGCACATTTTAAAACCAGCTGGTATTGAACCCACACAGTTAATGGAGGCAGGAGTGCGTGCACAGTGCCTACACCTTCCATTATCACTGCTCTCCTGGCTGCTGGTTCGTGAGGCAGACAAGAGGCAATCAGCACGGCCAACCACTTGTCTTCTGAAGCAGACTGTAAGGCTGCTTTAACATATGCTGCACAGGGACAAGTGATGAAATGTATTTCCAGCACGAATAAGCAGAATGACAAAAAAGGAACATAAATACCCTTTTGGCAGCCAATGGTTTTATTAGCTGGCATTTTACATTTAAAAACTGAAAACAGATAAGGCAGAAATATCTGTTATTTTTAGTGTAATCACACTAAAAATTGTGATTATGTTCCACAAGGTGTCATAGTTTCTTGTCACATATGTTTCTGGATATAAAAACATGTGTATGTGTATGTGCATGATGTGCATGGCTTTAATCTCATTGCAGAGTGACAAACAGTAAAGTCTAATTATTTATCTGGGTCTAAATGTGAAGAAAATTAAATGAATGTTATGTCAATGCGGGGAATTTGACACTTATGATGGAGCACAGTTTTTTTATAGTGCATATTCATTGGATGAAGAGTTTAAAAGTTGCAAAGTTACTGCAAAAGACTCTGCATCGTTCATTAAATTTTGTTTTCTATATATAATAAATGCAAAACCATCTTAGGATGAAAGTTCAGTGCTCTGCACACGATCTACGACTTTTAAGATGCCTGAATCAATCAGAAAGCAAGTTAAACTGGTAGGAGAAACTTTAAGCAGTAGTCGTATCCAGGTGAGTCGATCTTCATTGGAAGAAACCTAAATTTGCTAAGTTTGCTCTAAATTAAATAATATTATTACGGTGGTATTACTGTGACCATTGAGAGGCACAAGTGCAAATTTCATACTGGGAGCACATATTCAAATTCAAAAATATTTTATTAATCCCAAAACGAAATTAAATAATGTGCACTAGATGCTTCACCTCCAAGTTTCATCTGTGATAATACAGAATCTTTTTACATATCTGGGTATATTATTAAGCAGAGCTCTGCGGCTCCAGTCCATGAGTGCCGGTATTTACAGGTGTCTCTCTTCAGAAAGGCAATGCAAGGGTGCTAATTACTATGCTACTGAAACACAGGGCTGATAAGTAACAGTTTGACAGGAATATTAGCCTGTAAAAAGCTTGCCTTTTACAAGAGAGACAGCGGCACAGATTGAGTACTAAACTCCACAACCGTAGTCTTCATCACAGACCTGAACTCAGATCAGAAAATGTACGAGCGATTGATTTATGAACCTGGATATAAACAATGCAGGACTGGGCAATATAACTAATATATTTGATGTATTGTGATTTGTGCCATGCGTGCAATGTATCAAATGGAAATATTGTGACTATCAAGAGTGTAGGTTTCTATAGCAACCGTTGCCCATCTGCATCCGATCTTTACGCTCCTAAAAGCATCACTTAAACTCCCGTCATACCGCTGCAGAAAATTACAGAATGCGCCGATTGTTTACCATGTGAGATGAGGACACAAAGAGTGGCGGAGAAATCGGAATTGAGCATCAAGGTCTGCAGTGTGAACAAAGTATTACTCTTTGTTTTGGAACTGAACTCGTCAAAGATGCCGTCAACTTCTGCATTACGTCGAAAAACAGCTGAAAATTTTGCATTCGCTGATTCAGTTGTCGGAAAAACAGCTAAATTATAGTTGAACATCGTCATAGTGATAAAGAACAGATTTTAAATATTGCCATATATGTTGTGTATTGCAGTAAATCAAAGTGACATTGCGTTTAAACTATATCACTGATTTAATTATACTCATATATTCAAATATCACAAAAGATGTTACTGTATTGTTTATCAGGAAAAACAAATGATAAGAATTAGCCCTTATTGATACTTGGTGTCGACTGTTTTATCATTTATATTGATTGTGTGGTAAGGCCATTGATACATTCTTAAATGTGATTAAAAACAGGTATTAAGTGTCATTAGTTAAATATAATAACATAATACAACTACTTCAATAACTGATTTGAAAAGTTTTATTTTTAAAAGCAGTATTTGGGTTCGACTGTATGCAGTGACATGAAGTCAGAGCCCTAAAATCTACAAAAGTAGATTGTGATCAATTTTGTCATTGTCACTTTTATCATCACACCACAAAATATCACAAAATATCCTGGTAAACCTTAACGTTTATAATTCCAACCACTAATTAAAATGCATATTTCCTGTTTGCCTTCCTTGCAAAGTGAGGAATACAAGTAGCATGTAGTCCGTTTCGACATGCTACTTGATATCGTTTCTTTCGCAATATCAGAAAGAAACAGAAGTCACACAAGCATAAAGGCAACAAAAATGTAGTAAAAAGAAACAGGTCTTCAGCGATAACTGAACAATAAAACCCAACTGCAACCTTTCTGAGAGTTTAAAGGCACCGCTCATTCCCACTTAAGACTCTTACTCAGGCCTTTACATTTCAAAATGAGTAAAGGCAAGTGGTTACGCTGAATGCGCTGCGGCTCCAACATCCTCACAGCCTCTGCAGGAGCTTTCAAGGTCTTTATAAATGCTTGATGAAGCCTTTCAAATGTTTCAGAAACCCAACATAAAGCTCCTGCCTCCGTCCTCAGATTTGTTGGAGCCACGTGGCAAGAAAGCACGAGTCCAAAGCTGCTGCCAACTTACCAGGTGATGAAAGGAACCGGGCAGACAAGGACCATTACTATTACCTTTATACGTGATGGGGGGGGCAGGCACATTCAGTGTGGGATTAAAACAGGATCTGCGCGAGGATGAAGTCACAAATGGACTGGGTTTGTTACAGCCAGCAGCCATTTCTTTCGTGTATCGTAAAGATAATACTTGCAGAATAAAATGAAGGAGAAAAGGAGTCAGGCTGGAGACATAACCATGTTTGTCCGAGAAAGTAGAAAGAAAGAAAAAAATGTCAGTGTCAAACCAATTTAATTAAATGCGTTTACTGGTGTGGCTTCTACTTTGACAGTGTATTCATTACTATTACAATAAAAGTGACCTCCAGCTTCACAGCCCTGATAGCCTCCAGTTTCCAGCAGTGGCAGAGGAAAAAGGCTTGTGGATGTCGCCCACAGAGCCGGCTGAAAGGAGTCAGACGCAGCCTTGGCGGACGCCTCGTGACTGAGTGACTCGACAGATAGGAACAAAACAGACTATTTCTCTCTCTTATTGTGTAAATACTTTTTTACCACTTCAAGGAGAAAATAGCTGAAGGCTGTTTATACAAACAGGAGAATAAAGCCTCAATTTCTGAGGCTTGAGGACAAACTTAATAAAAAAAAAAAAAAAAACGCCAACAAACTTGTGTAAAGAAAATTATACTTTATACTTTCATATGTGATGCGTTATATCCTCTTTCACTTTGAAATCCTTAAGTAAAGCGCAGAGCACTTAACTAACTTATGCTGAATTCATATTCACACTCTTTAGATTTTTGTTTGTAAATCTTATGCAATATTCCTTCAAATTTGCAAGTATTTTCTAACTTAGGCTGGTCTAATCAGATAAAATCCAGTTAAAAAACATGAATGCTCCAATATTAAAAAGTTAAAGGCAGATGAATATTTCAGAAATATCTCTTCTTCTCTGAGAGAACTGGATGGAAATGTCCTCTACTAGAATATGCTCATATACACGCACACAAACACAGCTGCAAAATAAACAGATCCATTAAAATCAGTGTTATCGTACAGCATGCAGTCTGAATGATGACCTCGAGACACCTGCAGCATTTAGCCTGTGGTGAAGTGCCTGAAACTGGGTCATGTTTGGGAACCTCTGGAGTCTATCTGGGGTTGTTAATATTACTGCTGTTTTGGCTTCATTCCTTCGGCAAAGACGGCCGTTACTGGCGGTGAAATATCCAGTCTGGTAAATAGGTCAAGTTTACAGATTCACCAACTTTCTCAAGAGAAAAAGTTGATGGATAACTCGGTTCAGGCGGAAAAAAGTTCATGTCGGATGGCTTGTAAAGGAAATACACATTCATAGGTCCAATTTAGGTTTTTGTTATATGCTTGATCAGACTACACAACTCTAGTAATTCTTTATTTGTCACACAGTGTGGAAATCGACAGCGTAACAGCATGGGAAAGTAGACATGAAACTTAAACCATTAAAGAAAAGAAATTACACCAAAATAGTGCAAATATGTCAATATAGTTTGGTTATGTATAAAATAACATGCTCCAAATGGTTCAAGCAAGTAGATTAATGTCTGTTTTGTTTAAATTGTGTTCCTTTCTACCAAAAAGTCTGTTTCTGACAGGAAATTAAATGGCTATTTCCTAAATGATAGTACTTTGTAGATGGGATATAATTGTTGAAAAAAGGAAATTCTTGGTATTTTATTCATATTTGATAAAATCAGCATTTTTTTAAATTATTTACACCCTTTTTAGGAATGAATGGTGTAGTTATTATAATTCCAAATCAGCTTTTTGTATGTTTGGGCAATTATTTGTGAAGATTTATCACCATAATCTTTAGTTTTCTTCACAGATTGAAGTCACGTACAGATGTGCAACTCTAAACTCTTAATTTTACTTCCAGTTACAGGAAACTTGCTAGTAAAATTTAAATATAACTCCAAATATAAATCAGTCAGGGGTAAGAATAATGTTGGAAAATTAGTAAAACAGAAACTTGATCTCATCTTTTAATTGTGTTTTTATTTTTAAAGAACTCTGAGGAAAAAGTCAGATTTATTTTTCTTTCAGTGGCCCTAATCCTAGTTTTTGGTAGTTTTTGGTTCAATAATGTTATCGAAACTGAAGAGAAATACGAACAAATGGTGTCCTTGACTAAAGGAGGCTGTTTACTTCATCCAAACAGCAGCACATAAAGGCTCTTTGATGTTGTCGACGCTGCAGTGTTGCAGGCGTTAACAGGATTGGGCCGGGTTCTGGTTGACACACAGACACATTCACAAGTGCGGATAATCACACAAATACCCCCCCGACTGGACCCGCAGCTAAATACTGTGGACAAATCAACAAATCCACGGTCGACATCAACAATGTCGAACTCGTGTGTGAATATGTACGCCGCCTAGCCAGTGTTTGCTTGCCTAACAGAATTAAGCTTTACTGTTGATGAATCTCTGTCACTGAAGTGTACACAGGGGTTTCTATCAAAGCGTTGCTGCAGAAGGACAGTTTGAAGGGGCTTGTGACCCTTTACAGAAAACAAACTCTTCCAATTTGAAAAGGCTTTACGATACACGGCGAAAGCAAAATAATAAGAGAAGGTAAACGTCGATTCTACAACATATTGGTGAATCACTCTCCTTTTATTGTGCTTAGGAAAGTCTCCTCAGTACTGAAAGGACAACAAATTTGTAGAGCGAATGCTGTTATGTTTGTGCAATTTTCAATCTCACTACAAAGGACAAGTTATTGTGAAGCTATGTCTGGTTTATTTTGTTTCAATCCAAGAAGGTAGAATACGTCACCCAGAACAGTAGAAAATAAAAGAAAACTGAACAAAAACAAAACAAAAGAAGCATACCTTCATCGACATCTTCTTCCTCATTATGGGAAGTGACCTGCTCCCTTTCTCCAACGTTTCTTTCTGCTTCCCTCTGAAGGCTCACCACTTCGTACACAGCGTCACTCTGACTCACCCTGTCAGGGGCCTGCTGCATAAACAAATAAACACATAATCACAAATGTTTAAATGTTGCACTTGTGTAGCGCTTTATCAAGTCAGGCAACTCCAAAGCGCTTTACACCACATTCACTCATTCGTGCACATTTTCACAAGCTGAGCTCCATTGTATCTGCAGACTGACAGAAGTGAGGCTGTCCAACATCACCAGTGAGTAAAAAGATTGAACATAATCTCACTAGTAGAATGTAAAGTTTCTGTGTCAATTGGTAAAGAAGAAAAAAAAAACACCTGTTGATTCCTATAAAACAAATGAAACTGAAGCACTTTTTAAATTCATATTATAATATTTTAAGTGGTCAGAGTGTCTAATGACATCTATGACTATCTGTTTGCTAAAGTATAAAAACAAGGCGACTGTTAACCATTTCTCTTCACCTTTCACTTTTCAAAATGGGAAAAATAAGAGAACATGCCACTGAAGTTAGGCAGATTTTTGCTGTTCAAAAATACTCAAGAAGATTTCTTCTACTTGTCCATGCCTGTCGTCAAAGCAATAATAAAAAGCTAAAAGTTTAAAACAACTTTAACTGCAACAAGCAAAGGTGGACGAGGACGCAAGTTTTTCTTGACACCATGTAATGATGATAAGGAAGGTAAAAAAACCAAAAATGTTACTGTTAGAAAACTGCAGCATTTTTGTGAGATTAAGCTGCATAAAACAAAAGGATTACTTTTTTAAAAAGTCTGCTACACATATTTGACTGAGAAGCTAACAAACAAAGGACACAGTGTCTTATCATGAAGACACTCACAATATTGTATCTCTGTCTGCAGAAGATAAATATTTTCACATAGACATGAGCAGGAAGGTTATATATGCCCACTACACATTTATTTTGTTTTTTTTTGTGGTTTTGTTCTAAAAAAAATACAATAACAAATGCATGTCAAAACTGACTGTAAAGCAGCAAGATCAAGATTATTTTTGGTGCAACATGAGCAGGTAGTGGATATAAAGAACTTGATTCAATCATCACAGCTCGACATGAAAACTAGTATCATAAACTGGAAATAAAGTGAAAATTATCAGTTACTCTGTGATTTATATATATATATATATATATATATATATATATATATATATATATATATATATATATAAATAATTTATTTTTTTTTAATACATATTAAGAAGGCACAAATAACTTGAGGAAAAGAAAATTCCCACTTAAAACTGCAATATTACTTCATTGCTAAGTTAACAACTTCAGCTTATTTAGAATCCGACTCAATACAACATTCTTCTCTGAAAAACTAAAACTAGCACAGCAGGTCCTAACATGGGCCTTAAATGTACCTAAAGGCAATAAAGAAAGTGTAAGTGAACAAAGATACCATCAGATCTGACCTTCTGTGTCACAGGCAGCTGATGTTTATTTCTAGTCTATTCAATTACTTTGGTGCTAGTGCCCATCTCTTCCACCTAGAGAAAAAAAAAAATGGATCAATGGGCTGCATTGATCCGCCCACTCGCATGGCATCTAATGACTAACTCAAGTCAGAGTCGACAACTCGAAATAGCCGAGGATATCCAGCCTGGACTATTTCTGGAAAAATAATCTACAGAGACTTGAGGAAATAATTTGCTTTGGTTTGCTGCGGCCTCTTCAAGAGATTAGTGAACTACATAAATTATTCACACCGATTTAAAAACAAGAGAAATAAATTTGGACAAAAAAAAGGGCTCCTGGGACATATGTGACATGGATTTTGAATTATGCAAAAATAATCAATGCGTCAAGAGAAGTGAAACATTTTCCACTTGTGCCGCGTAATATCAATTTGTGTGCAGAAAAAAATCTTCTACTGATTAGTTACTAACACAATATTACATCTACAAAAGACACAATTCTGTGCTTTTCTGTGCAGATTGATACATTTCTAAAAGTTTTACGATTGTCCACAAATTCACAGTTAATATTACAGTTTTGCAAAATTGTACTGAAAATAAACATTTATTTATTAAAAACTACAGTTAATATGCAACTTTTTTCTATAGCTAATAAAAATTTATTTCAACAATTAAACCAACATATTTAAAAGCATATGTTTTATATCTAAAACAAGCCTGTCTGTCAGAAATAAGTCAGAAGAACTGATGACAATAATTTTATCTGAGAGATTGGGAGGGTTAGCAAGCATATGGTGCGTTATTTTATTGTGATGTATAACAGGTCTCTCTTGTAAATGACATAATGAGTCTCAAGAGATTTAGCAAGCATAAATAAAGAATTATATATATAGAGTATACGTTTGTCCCTTTTGTGTCTTAGTAATGAAACTATCTTTGCAGACTGAATCATTCCAAAAATGTCACATGCAACAAATATGTCAATTAAAAAAATCAAAACATAAAATATGCAATAAATTAAAAGACTCCGACACCCACTATTAATAAAATGTCTTGAAGTTAAATAGACCTTTCTGCTTTTCTGGGGATCAGTTGTTACATTTACTCTGTAAGCGATCAAGCTCCTTTTAGAGGAATTTAGTTTTTCTCCTTTCTTTTCAGAATCCATGTTATTACTGGAGATATTTCAGGTTTTTCGGTTTATTACAGCTTTAAAATCAAGGAAGAACATTCAGCACTGGCAGGCTTGTTTAAAAGAATAGCAAGTGGTTGAGCAAACAACTCCTATAGGTTAACAGATGGATCAATGGTACTTCATATTAATGTTTTCCTTCTCAAAATAAGCCAAGAGGATTGCATATTTATTGTGTTTGCACCACCTATGATTGTCATCTTCAGTGGAAACTTCTACACAATATTATCTTTTAATTAGCTTGGAACCACAGAACTAGCCCAGCACCCTTCCATTTACCGAAGAGATAACAAGAGAAGCAATCAGGCGAACGAGTCAAAGCGCTGCTGTTAATTACCCAAAAGCAAATAATGAGACAGAGCCTCTTATTAGCTTTCACAATCCAAAGCTTCCCCACACCTCACTGATTCACCAGGTCCCTGTGGCCAACTAAAAGATTTGCTTTTTAAAACAGAGAAGAGGAAGATTATGGCTTAACGGTTTGTTTAAGCACCAGCAGAAAACCGCTCCGGCTGCATGTGTTCGTGTCGGTGGGGAAGGAAGTATAATCACACTCCTGTCCGAACACTTTGGACGGCAAGTCAAAAGGTCAAGTGTGGACCTTTTGCGTCTGCAAATATAAACAAAATATTTAAAAAATACTGTGCGTTTTTCTTTTGTTTTGAAGGGTTACATTGTTTTAAAAGTACATTACATTATATACTTGAGAGTGTTGGTCATTCTCCAGAAATCCTGAAGGTGAAATCTGCTCCACAGCCATTTTTATTGTTTTATTTTTTAAGTGATTTTACTTTACAAATGTGAAAAAATCTGCTAACAATTGGAATCAATCTGATTGGTCACCTGCCATTTCTTTGTTGTTGTTGTTATTTTGGGTCTTCATTGTGTAAAGTAGTTTGCCTTGTTGCTATAATGTGCTATACTAATATTTGCTTTGCCAGTCAAAAACTGGACTTGCACACTGGACTTTTTAAAATTTTTGGATTGATTGCATTCATTTCCCTGGTATTTGATTTTATTTGTCCATCCTCAGCAGCAGGAACAGAATATGGATCAATCTTTTTGTGAAAATGTGCAACTAGCTGCACTTTTCTACTCTCCTGTTTTGAAATATTAGTAATACCTGTTTTACAGTGATTGGTGGGATGTCACCTCTGTTTCAACTATTACTAATAATATATAGATATTGAATGCTGTTCTCATAACTTCTTATATTTTAATTGTTAATAGGGAAATTGTAATCTGGTGAAATCCTTACTGGTAGGTCAAACTTTATAAAATCCAAAGAACGGATAACATGACAAAAATTCTGACTAGTGAATCTCTATTTTGTTTTTTTATTCCGTTTTTGTTTTTCAGCTTTACTTTTGTAAATACCTGGAGATAAAAAAAAAATGTTCAATGTACATTAATATTAATAATTTATTAAGTATTTAAGACGCAATGGGAGCACTGCACATATTTCCAATCTGCTTTGTGAGCCTCTACATCACAACACTTACCCTCCAAAATGAAACTCTGCCTGCCTGGGGAGAATAGATCGAGTTCAGAATTAACACAATCTGGGCCTTTTTATCCCCCTGACACCAATTCTGAAATAAGTCAATAAACTTAACATGACCTGAGAAAAACTGCAAAACAATAAATCACTAATAGCCGACAGCTGACAGATTCGTAGCCAGAAGCCTTCACTGACACTCAATAAGCTGAACTGACCTGCTCAGGTTGGCTTTTTAAATATTTAATAATGCCTAAATGCATTGGCTCTGCTGCAACACAAACATTGCTGCTCAATATTTTACAAAAGATTAATAAATCATTGCTGACAAAAATGACCAGGAACATAGTTTTAGTTAATGCAACAAAATCAGTGTTTGGGAAAATAGGACCAAACACTGATTCTCAAATTTTATAGCAAGATTTCAAAATCCAAGCATCACAAGGAAATCCGGATTATTTTAGTGATTTACTCTCCTGTAGATATTAACCCAGCTTCGATGATGTGCCAGTACTAAAAAATAATAAAAGACATTGATGAAAAGCAAGCCTATATTTGTCCAAATGTATAAAACAAGAAAGTAAAAAAAAAAAAAAGCAACCAAGTCAAGAACAAAGTGTCTTTATGCCTCACTTCGTTACTGAGCTTCTTTTTTCCACTGACTGATGCCAGGGCACAAAGCATTTCACAGTCAGTGAATCATACACACCCACATGTCGCGTAGGTTCATCAGCCAACATATTTAATCAGAATATAGGAATATATAAAGGCTCACCATGTAAGGGGAGCAGATATTAATAGTTGCAGCAAACCAACCTGCCGCAGCCTGAGGTAGAACGTTTCGCTGAAGGTCTTTCGGCTGAAGTACCAGAAACGTTCGTTTGACGGATAAACCCTGACGAGAGTTTCCAACAGGAAGCGAACGGGTTCCACCACTTCGGTCACCACCAGGTCCACCGCCACCGTCATGTACACCTGCTTATCTGAGGATGGAAACAAACAAAATAAAGTTAACATCTCTCTTGGTTTTCTTAGGAAATTCAGTCACTAAAATCTGTTTATTTGGAAAAAGCTGAAATTAAAGCATTAGGAATACACTAAAACTGTTAAAGCATCTGTACCTCTTAGATAGAAAATGTTTCACACTTAAACTCCTAAATAAGGTTTTTAGTGCCAAATGCTTTTTCCATTAACTGTCTTACACAAACATATACTCAGATTCATCCTTGTCCCAGTTCATATTTTACATCTTATTAACATTTTATTAATACAATCCTTCATTTTAGACATTTGACCTACAGCAAGTGTACATGTTGTTTAATTCCAACACTGGCACGTCATCTGGAGAGCACTGATGAAGGAAACAGAAATACATTTCCCTCAGATAAACATTAACCTCATTAAGAAAAACTAATATTCATTAACTACGTCCATAACAGTTAAAGTGAAAACAACAACAATAGACATAGGGAAAATAAAAACTAAAGTAATAATAGTATATACTAACACAAATAATAATATACAAGCAAATAAATAGAGGTGTCAGGGTTTCAGTATGAATCTAGTTGAAGGTTTCCTAAACTTTGCTTTTTATTAATAAAAGTTACCCAAACTGGCTCCAACTAAAATACAAATACTGAGTTAAGAAGCTGTATCCTGTATGGACGCCACACCCCCATACTGGATAAGAACATGGCTCCAATAACCTGCTGATAAAAGGGTAGATGTGCTGTTACACTGTTAAACCAACCAGAAAACCTTTTTGGAAGACAAACCTTTGGGAGTGTCTTCATTCAGTGGCTGGAAGGCGGCCATGTTGGGATTCCACGTTCCTGTGATGATGTAGGCTTTTCCATCTGAGCTCTTTCCCATCGATTCCTATGAAGGGAGTCGAGTTATAAAATTAATTTTATCCCCAGCAATATTTACGTTTTTATCTACGATCTTATTAATCATGCAATAACACAAGATTTGTACCGTTAAAGTCTGGTCAGTTATCATGTTTCTATAAACTAATTCAGTCTCAAAATCAGCATAAAGATTGGTTTATTTGATAAATCCATACATTTTCGCGAGGTGTTTCACAATAACAGCCACATGCATTGATTTATGTTATAATTAAACCCTTTAAGGCCAGTAATAAAATGAGTCAAATGAAGTCCCACATACCATGTCAAGAAGATGCATGTCACTGTTGCAGACTTTCTGCCCGGGACTCAGCAGCATCCCAAAACACCTTAACAGAAGACAAAGGAGGCACAACCCACAAATCAATACCCACTAATTCCAAGGCAGAGCTACAGCCTGCCTTCATCAGTCAAGTTACCTGAGAGAGAAAAGAAAATGGAGGGAAAAAAACACTCAAGATGCGAATCCACACTCAGATACAGCATCTTATCTATTCCGGAGATGTTTCAAACGTCTTAGATTGTACTTTACTGTCTGATTGAACCTATGCCCAATTATCATTGGTTACTTTAATAACCACAACAGATAGAAAATAGGCTAAGAGGTCTCTGTTGTTATAATCTTTAATCTTGCTCCTACAGAAGCTTAGAGTTTGGTGATATGGACAGAAAACAAAGCTAATTTCTGGAATGTTTAATCTCTAAGATAGCAGATGTTTCAATACAAATGCAAAGAACAACCAATGGGATTTGTTTAATAGCAATTGTCAAACTAAACTATTTCCTTAAAAGAATTGCAGGGTTTTATGGAATAATAAGCATGCTTTCTGAACTTGTAACACATGTCTCATCTTTATGTTGCAAAGGTTTTTCCAGTTTCTGACCCAAACTGCATAAGCATGCATTTTTACAGCTAATCACTGAAGCAACATTTGTACAATCAAAGCACAAAGTACAACCTGTTGCAATTACAACTGCAGAGTTTTACATGTCTGGACATGAATAATCTGCAATTTGCAAAGTTCTAATGTGGCCTCAAGCTTAGAACAAGAGACACGAATCATCCAATCACATCAATCTAAATAAAATAAAAACAGGCAAGGCCAAAATTAAAAAGGCATGTGTGAAAATGTATGTACACACCTCATGTCTGTGCAGTTAGCTGAAGCATCTTTAGCTGTCTTAGAGGAATTTTATCCCAACTTTGCTTCCCTGCTTGCATGACCCAGTTTCAGACAAGTGGCTTCATGTTTGGTTGTGGGATATTTTGGTGTCCTGGTCGACCCAATGAAAACAGCCATTGGTGTGACGTGATTCTGTGGACACGCTGTGTTTAACATGCTAACAGACTCGCAGAGGCTTTTGCATGGTCTGACTGTGGGGTGAATTTCCCCAGAGTGTCTATTCCTGGGAAGACAGGCGGCAACCGTCCTAAATGGTCTCCAATAACAACAGTAATCGCTTCTCTGAAGTCACTGTTGAAGTCTCTATTCCGTGGAACTGTGTTAATATCCATTTATTGTTTCTAGCTAGGGAAACTAAACTGCTGTCACAGAGGTGGTCGGACTCACTGATGAAATCCGAGAACAAGTCTAACACCATTCCACTGCCACAAAATATAATGACAAATTAAACTGTATTCCCAAGGAACAGATAATAATATATATGTATATTAATTAAGGGTCAAAAATCAATGTCAACAGACATGAGAATGATCTCTCTGAAGAACAATAGAGGTTTCAATGTCTGAAAAAGAAAAGAAAAAAAAAAGTGGGCAGCTTTTTGTCTCTGTCTGATGGCCACAGAGGTGTGAAGATGAAAAAGGGGAAATGACCTAGTTTTTCCAGTGGTACTCAAGCATATGAACATTTAAACAGTGGGCTGCAGATATCTGAATGTGACTTTAAAACACAGTCTGCACTACTGCTCACCGAGTTCATGAGAAGCATTAAACAGCCAGAATATTCCATCCTTCTTGTTTATTTTAGATGTCAAACAGAGGCATGTTGAAATCCTTTATATTGATTAAACCAACCATCCCCAAAATACCAACACATAAAAGATAAGTCCATAAATGTTTTGTGCACCATTAACTGGGTTAATGCTCCGTTGTACAGAAAGAATAAATGAGTTAAAGTATAAGACAGGAAAGGTTCTATAATGGCATGTAGAAAAGTGGGACTATGTCTGTACTTTCAGTACGATTTAAATACCCAGTTTTTAAAAACAGAGTCAGAGCCTAAAGGTGCAGACTTGTGGTCAAGCTAGACTCAAGATATTTCTGGCTGGCTTATGAAAATAGGATTATTTATTCATTGAACCGTTTATCCTAAAAGCCAGATTATGACACTAGGGTCTTTAAGGCAGGTCCATCACCATGCCAGCAGTTGCTGAGGTATCTAAAAAGCACCCAGTTTCAGGGAGACAGGGGTGGAAGAGATTTTTCCTGAGATGCTGGAGGGTTTGAGTATTGTTGGCCAGCTGATTTGCCTCTTTAATGTTGCATACAGGACCAGGAAGAACCTGCTGAGTGGTTGGATGGGGTGGTGGTCCCAATTAAGTCCTTAGAAAACTTTTTAAACTAATTTGAATAGTAAATTGAGTTTTGTGTGTAACTTGGATCAATTGGAATGTATGTGACTGAATTTAAATTACTTTCTTTTTTTGTAAAGTGCCTTGAATTACATTTGTTGTGTATTGGCGCTATATAAATGAACTGAATTGAATTTTTAAGGAAGAGGACGGGAACGTGTGCTTCAGCATTCGAGGAATAATTCTTCTCAGCGTTCCTTGGACAGTCTACTCTTCGGTAAGGAAGACTGACTTTCAGACCTCAGATTCACGAGGATCAGGGCGGCTCTTGTCTGCTGATGGGGTTATGGTAGTTTGGTGGTTCAGTCCTTGTTTGTTTGCATCCAACCTTTATGTCATTATATCAGATCCCTCCTTTGTATTCAGTGTTTTAGATTTTCCTTAGATTGGTGTATTGACTTGGTCATCGTTTATTTCCTCCTCAGCTCCTTCATGTTCGTTAGTTTTCTTCCTTCTGTCAGGCTGCCCGGTCTTCCCTCACAGCTGCACCCTGTTCCCAATCACCCACCTGTTCTTTATCAAATAATCAGGCTCCTCAGTATTTAACTTTCTCATTTGCTAAGAAAGTTACTATCTTGCCTCTTCCTTATCTTTATTGTTGCTGTATTATAAGTTTGTTATTTTATGTAAAGTCTATATATTATATCTCCTGTCTCCAATCGTACCTGTATTATGGGTTCAACTGCAACACTACATTATGATAATTTCATGTTCTGTACCTGGTTCATTATGTTATACTTCAGAGTTTGTTTTATACTGAAAACCATTTTAATGCCAACCTTTCGATGCCCAGCTCCTTGTTGCACATTTGTTGAACAGAAACCAGCACCTTCTTCTGGACACCTTGTCGCAGCTTGAAGTAAAACTTATCCCTGTCCTTTGGCACCGGGCTGGGAAAGAGAAAAAAATGAGTTATGAAGACCAGATATTTACATACAATATATGACATTTTTCCTCAAAGTGTCTGCCGTCAAATCAGGCAAACTCTTTCCTGACTTAGTTTGAATTACTAATTTTTTTTCTATTTGCCACAACAATTAAAGAAATATTTTTTTACATATATATTTACATTTTTGGTAATCCTAGCCGTCTAAAGTCAGACAATGACAAATCAGTTGTGTGTCTCTTTGTACTGTTGGATACTCAAATACCTGAAATTAACTGTGAAAGTTACCAAAAGTACTTCAATATAGCTTTGTTTTTTTTTACTCGGTTCATTCTCTGTTGCTTTGTAACTGTTATATTTTCTTTACATTTTACTTCAGATGTCAAAAGTTATTTACCTTTGACAACTGACATGAAAAAATTGGCCGACCATGTTTTCGATCATTAGGCTAGCAGAGTCAAAATTTTCAACTGCAAAGATTATATTTTCTATCCAGAGTCCTGTTATTAAAAAGACAAAACAGGAAACTGTGTCTGTGCATTTGATTTGCATTTGTGTGTGTCTGGGTGTTTGGACCAAGTACTTGTAGTTGCCTTTGCCATCATCTTCTCTGATCTCCAGTGAGACAGTGAAGGTGTAGAGATCTCCGTCAGGCGGGCCAGAAAGCGCCGTGTCCCTGATGTCTGCTCGTTGTGAAGAGCGCCGAAAGGCTGTGGAGAAACTGTACAGGATGCGGCTGACCTGAATGGAAAGAACAAAAGAGGACGGAAAAATCAAAAAAGGGAGGAAATAGAAATTGAAAAAGATGTTACAAAATAAATACCTTACAAGTAAACGGAAGGAAAAATAAAACTGGAAAACTAAGAAACAAATTGAGGAGAAAAAATAAAAGACAATAGTGCCCCCAGCTGGCCAACAACAGCTGGCACAACTAAATATTTTTGAAACACTGGAAGTTTTTACTAGTCATGTATGAACGCGCCACGTTATTTAAGGTAACTGCTGGTCTTCACCCTTCTTCCTTTTTCAGACCAGCTGGACTTTGAGCTGCAGGATAATTTGTTTGTATGTTTATAAGTTTTTCAAATTAAGTTCAGAAGGAAAACAGAGTCAAGTAACACTTTTCCAACACTGTTGTGAACTCTACACGTTTTCAACTTGCAGGAGATCCCAAGATAATCAGAAGTGCCATACATATTTTGTAACTACAAAAAAAGCAAAACATTTTTATTGGTTTCACAGAACTAAAATGGAGTAGTGAGATCCTGTTGTATAATAAGAAAGAAACACGTAGTCTGAAGCACACTACATACGGACAGGAACTGGACTAACAAGTACAGACGGCTTTATTTAACTAAATGCAAATCTACAAGCTGCATAACCAACTATTTGTACAGATCTGTATTTCTGTTGTGATTCCACTGCATTTCTGTAATGGCAACAAAGTCCAAGTCATTGACAGGATTAACAGCTTCTGATGCTGGAAGGGAAAATAATCATTTTTAAAAAGTATTTTGGATCTAAAACGTTAAAGAACTGAACTAATGGAGCCTGAGAAACTTGCTGAGATTTTGTTTAGTGTTTATGGTCTAAACAAGTTTAACTCACGGCCTCTTTGATGTGGCAAGAGAAGACGTGAATCTGGAAATCCTCTGAACTTCGGTAACTCTCAGTGAAGGAGAAACAGTCGCTTTCCACAGAGCCTTCACGCCCGCGGGCGCAGAACAGCACCTTGTAGATGGGGAAGGAGGCGATCTCTGTTCCTGAGGCCTGGTCTACGATTCTGAGAAGATGGAAAGGAAAAAAATTGCACACAATATTTCTGTTACTGTACATGAAGCTGATTGTTTCTATTTTTGATTTACAGCTGAATTAATTCGTAAGGCCTTCAGCTATAAATAATCAGTGCATAAATGGCTGCTTTATTCTTACTTTAGTCAACTGTCTCATTTCCTCTAGAGTACGTTTTAAATTCAGTGTTCCCTTTTCATTAAATGAATGAACATGGCTAAAAGTTTCTGTCAACTGATTTTACTTCATGATCTGTAGCACATTTTTTCATTCTTGGAAAATGACCTCCAAAGTCATTTTCATAATACCGTGGAGGTCTGAAAACTTGTGTTGACTGATTTACGTAAAGAAGAAAGGTTGGATTTGATAATTAGGCTAAAAAGTCCTCATCATCATCTTATGATTTGTGTTTTAAAAATGCCATTTTATCCATGTATATAAGTATCCATAGGACAGTTACACATTAATATAAATATAAGAAATATTTTGTGTTCGAACTTTGAATCAAAGCCAAACACAAATTTATACACCATGCTTTGCAAAAAGTAGTTTTTTCCAAAAAGGTTGAACACAAGTGCTTGCAAAAAGTATTCATACCCTTTTGAACTTTTTCATAGTTTTTCACATTATAACAACTTCTGTTAATTTTATTTTTTTTATTCTTTTGCCAGTTCTTTTCAAAACAGCTGAAGCCCAGTCTGATTGGAGGATCTGTGAAGATCAATTTAGGTTTTGGCAAAAAACACAAATAGTTTGGGTTTGTACTTTACTTTACCCAAACATCATACAAATGAATCTAAACCATAATATTGTAACTCTGGCTGCCTGTTCAGGGTCGATGACTTCAGCCTTTTAGACCCTCTCACAGGTTTTCCTCCTATATTTAGTGTCGTCCATCTTCACATCCACTCTGACCAGCTTTCCTGTTTCTGCAGAAGGAAAACATCCCGACAGCCTGATATTTCCATCCGCACTTTTACTAATAGCTGTGGTGCGTTCAGGGGTATTTTCCACCACACGTAGCATTTTATTTTTGGCCCAAAAAGTTCAACTCTAGTTTCATCTGACCAGGGAATCCTCTATCAACGACACAGCGTCACTTTTATGGGACCACAGAAGGCATTTCATTTGGCTTCCTTTAACAAGTCAAATTCTTGAAAAGTTTTAAGTGTGGACGGCACAACCAACATTTGCCCCAAGCTGAGAATCTCTGCAGTTCCTCCAGCGTTCATACGGACAACTTACAACTTCTCTGACTGATGGCCTCCACACGTGGTCTGGCAATTTAGTTGACCAGACATGTTTTGGTAGGTTTAAAGTTGTGCCAAACGAATTAAGTTAGTTAGTTAGTTAGTTAGTTAGTAAAACTCTAAATAGGTGATGTTTGGTGGACTGTATTTTACTAAGGCATGTCGGAGAAGAAAATGGAAGTAAACACACATTAACATCACACTTTTAAGACTTATGAGTAAAAAATGTTGAAACCAATTTCTCACTTTCATCCCTTGTTAGTCTATCACAGTAAGTCCCAGGGAAACACACTAAAGGAGTAAAAAAGTGAAAAAAAAAAAGTTCAAGGGATGTGAATATATTTGCAAACCACTGCATGCTAATATTTTGCCAATGCAACTTTCAAGTCGCTCAGTATTCCTTACAATCAGACTCCGTTATCTGACCTGACAGAACCATCTGGCCCACAGGGAACATGCAGTGTGATGGGAATCGGGATGGCGCTCTCCGCTCGCAGGGTCGCCATGGCTCTCTGCGCCTCTGCCTCGTTGCGAGGAGCTTTGACCCACGTGCAACCCAGGTACGATAGCTTGTTGAACTGGACGCTGTCCTCCTCTATGACACTGGGACTGGATGGTGCCGGACATGCTTCTGTGTGCAGACAGACAGGTTTTTCTCTTAACAGTTTTGGCCACTTGTTGAGAACTTGAGGTGAATTTTTCTTTCCATGTCATGTGAACAGGAAACACAGCGACAGAAAGAGCAAAGCTGCATTCACAGCACTGAGAAGAGGATGGAGAAAAGATGTGTTAGAATGATAGAGGAAGTTCGAGGGTCTTCTCTGAAATAGGTTCCGATCTGAAACTTTCATACCAGCAAACAGGAAGCAGAACAATGAACCCAGCAGCTGAACTTCCACTGCTCACATGCTCGCTTTTATAGCATGCTAACAGTTTCCCTCTCAGCCTCCCTGCAGCTGTCTAGCACATCTGCAAAATCATACCGACGACACTGCCAGTTTTTGTTTAAATGGTGACCAATACTTCCCCAACAATTTATCACGGTCTTAATTAGGGGAGTGGCGATACCTAAAACTCATTAGTATCACATAGGGCTGGGCAATATATCAATAACAATAGATATCTCTGTAAACACATGATCGACATCAATAGATAATACGTGTGATAGAATATTCAATAATTTAATTCAGGGGTGTCAAACTCCAGTCCTCAAGGGCCGCTGTCCTGCAGTGTTTAGATGTGCCACAGGTAAAAAACAGTGGAATGAAATGGCTTAATTACCTCCTCCCTGTGTAGATCGGTTCTCCTGAGCCTTGCTAATGACCTAATTATTCTTTTCAGGTGTGGTGCAGCAGAGGCACATCTAAAAGTTGCAGGACAGCGGCCCTTGAGGACTGGAGTTTGACACCCCTGATTTAATTGAACACTGATCCAGAACCACGCAGCATTCTGGGGGATGTAGGCAAATGAAAGGCTTTAGCTGTTCTCACTGCCAGCTAAGCAAGTTTGATTACATCGACTAACTTGGTCATTCTTTTGTTACCTAGCAACACCCTGTCTGAGTAACTTGTGGTTGCCTAACAACAACCTGTTAAGCAACCTGTAGTTGCACAACAACAACCTGTCTGAGTAAGTTGCACAGCAGCAGATTAATGTTTTACCACGGTGCGACCACTGCTTAAAAATAAAACGAACAGAAGGAAGTGGAGGGAGGAAATAAGTGCGACAGTAAACTTATGTCACGTCACCAGTTTGGCAGTATTCCAGATATTTAAAACAAAAAATGAATCAATAATTTTTTATATAAGCAGATATGAAACTCTTGTATCATGATACGTTTTTCAGCCATATCATCTAGCCATTCACAAGAACAAGACAGGACGAGACTTTCATAATACTTTCAAGAACACTTTAAAAATCTAATTTACGTCAAAAAGGCCTTTATTCTTCATTTTTTGTCCACCAACTTGACAAACTGAAATCTTTTTCTGCCTTTTTATCTGTTCACACCTTAGAACAGTGCTTCAACCATGAATGGTCTGCAGTTACAACATTTTCCATTTCTGTCCTCCAGCCATTGGTTGTTTTAGAGATGCTTTCTGCCTCCTTCAGAATCTGAAATATAGTGTTTACATATCGAATATGCCTTGTTTATCACTCTGTCACCATTTACCACTCTTACTTTGAACCCAAAGTGCTACTAAACAAATTATTTAAGAATATTTGGAGCATATTATGTTAGAATTTCATCAGGTGAAGAAAGGCTGACTGCAACTGACTAGCAGTTACTTTAAAGAGAAATATTGTAATGTTTTAACATTACAAGATCTTGTACAAAGAGATTTTGTTACAGCCCTACCTAATGCAAAAAAAAGGTGTTTTTGTTTGTTTTGTTTTTTTTCCAGGAACATAATAAAGGTTTCATAAATCTCAAACTGTAGTTCAAATGATCCATCTTACCCAGTTCAGGTTTGACTGGACTAGGTAGTTCAGGGTGTGGGCAAAAGATAATTAAATGTCCCCAAATCATGAAGACATGTCAAACAAGAGCTTTAATAATGTTAATCAGATGGCAACCTTACAAAGCTGCTGTGCAGTCATATTTACCTGTACAGCTAAATGAATCCCCCACTCCAGTGCAGAGGTAATAGAGAAAAATATTAAAGACGACAACTATCAGATGAGTTAAACAAAAAGAAAAAAGAAAAAAGAAAGGAGTCAGCATGCCCCCAATATAGTGCTGCCCTGGGCATTCGCCACACATGAACATCAAACACCTCAAGTGAAAGCAAAAGTGCATTCACCTTCAAAGTGGAACCTCACAGTGGCATTAAATAACGCTAGTTCTACATTTGATGTTGTCTATAAGATTTAAAAATAACTGATTAGTTTTGCTAGTAAAGATGTCTACACCAACTTGAACTGAAAATAAAAGCTGAATAGCTGCATATGCATTTAAAAATGTGCCAACATACCTCGTCTTTTTGCCGTTTTTGGAGCAAAACGCTTCCTTCTTCTGAACATTGCTAACCATTTGCTTAAAGACAGACATAGTACGTGCTTATTTCCTGTGTGACACATTTCATCACTCTCCGTTTCATTTCACCTGAACTCATCCAAAAATAAAAAAATTCTTTATGCTGGACTTCCTCTCCTCTGATATGAAGAATCACATCTGCTTTTTATTTTATCATAAACATAATGACGGATCATTAAAAGCAGTTAAAGTGGGGGAAAAAACAGACTGAAACTATCCAAACAAGTCAGTCAGTGACACAGAGGAGTTAAAACACAGCATCAGAATCACTCAGGGCTCACCCTAAGATACTCACTGTATAATAACAGAGTAAAAATACATCTTTCAATGCTGGGAAATAAAGATTTACAGCTTGAAGCCGTAACTGTATTTTTATAACAGTGCTAGCTTTTTATTCCTTCCTGAGGCTAGGAGCCTCTCAGTACTCACATATACTGCAGTGTGAAATATAACAACATTCAAAAACAACAACTAAAATAAATACAGCAAAATATAATACAATAACAGGCTGCTTAGCAGAGGATCATCAAGTTCCTATGAAGAGGATTTGTTTATTCAACTTTTTGTACCTTTTTAAATTCAGACGTTTATAGACATTTCACAATATTTGGTTGAATAACCTTTCAAATGTTCTTACTATCCTTCCACAGGTTTCTCACAATTGTTTGAATTTTGGTTTGACAGAACTGGTGTAACTGAGTCAAGTTTGTGGACCAAGTTGCTCGACGAACCAAATGGTCTGTGCCTAAAATCAAGGCTTTGTGATGCACACTCAGCTGACTGACTTTGTTGATGCTGTGCCACTTGAAAGGCCAATTTGTGCAAGAGCTTTAACTTCCTGGCTGATGTCTCAAGATGTTGCTTCGGTATTTCCAAATAGTGTTCTTTACTCATAAAACTATCTATTTATGTTTGTGTAGCGCTCCATCCTGCAGCAAAACATCCACACAGCATGATGCTGCCGTCTCCACGCTTCACATCTGGGATGGTCTTCTCAGGGTTGCAAACTTGCCCCATTTTTCCTTAAATCTGCAGTATTCCAGTTAAAAAAAAATTAGATTTTTAAAAAATATATATTTAAAAAAATCACTATGTTGTGACACTATGAGACAGATAATCTGCAAAAATATCAAAATTTTTAGATTACCATTGAAGCAATGGCTTTAGGCCTATATTAGTACAGAATTAATTTACCCTCTTACCAGCATCAGTCAGCATTTTCAGAAAATGTTTTGTTTTTCCCTGGGACTGTCCACATATTAATCACCAAAAACCCACATCACAGAAAACCCCCTTCTTAATAGTGTGCTGGGTGGACATTCCCCTGTTTTTACAAGTCTAAACTTGTACATAAAAAGGTTTAACAAATTAGTGCAGCACTTGGAAAACAAGGATTTTTGAAACTGAACAAGATTTGTGGAGGTCCACAATTCTCTCCTGATTTTTGTATTATTAATTATATTTCTCCTAACTAAATTATACACTCAGATGTGCTTTCAATTAATTGAAATGATGTGAATTAATAATAAGGAGCTCTAACTCACAACAGAAAACGGCTAATCTGTTTTGATAAAGAATAGAATAAAGGTTAGTTTTACATCCCTACATAGACATAGACGGGTTGTGGGGTAAAAAGCTGGCCTGGTGTTAGGAGTTGGAAACAACTCATGGAACTGTTTCAGTTTCCCCAACAGGACTGTCTGTGCTTCTTTACGACTGGAACTATTTCCAAGCGGCCAGTTTTGTCTTTTCTGTAAGCGCGAGATAAATGCAGACGCCTTCTTTTAGTCACCCGACTGGCAGTTCACAACAGCAGATGGAAGGAGAACAGCACTGCATTAATCCAGTCATTCCTGCATTTCCTCTGGCATTTTGTTACAAAGGACATTAATAGGAATAGCTTAGCAAACCATTTTAGCAGTTATAACTTCATCTCATTTTTTAAACCTTAATATTCTCTTATATTTATAACTGGCATGGGCGGTTCTAGACGGAGAGCAACAGGCGCCAGTGCCCCTGTAGAACCAGTTTTTGCTCTTGCTATGCCCAAGATAATAAGAGATAATACTAAATTAATTTCTTAAATTGGTCCCTTAAACTAATTTCATTATTTACCTTCAAAATTAAATAAAAATAAAGGTGTTGGACTTTTAGCTTGAGCCATCTTGAGCTTCAAAGTCACAAGTGGCTCACTTAATATATTCAAAAATGAAATACTGCCCTGTTTTTAGTTTCATGCCTTTGTTCTGTGCCCTTATCAAAAACAACACCGGCTCCACCCTGTTACTGTTGGTCTAGAACTGCCACTGATAACCAGCCCATCTCAATAAAAAATAACTCAAAACAGGCTAAAGTATTACACAATATACAGTTTCAGTTAAATTTCGGTGGTTTTCCACTGTTGTAAAGATGCTGGCTTATGGAGTCAAGTGATGTAATAGAAGAGCAGAAAGCCAGTGCTAGAAATCATGATTTTCCTGTTGGACAACAACATGGACTTATCCTCATATTCAGCTGCAGCTCAGGTTGTTTTACCAGTAAATGATTTAGAACCTTGTTGAACTTGATTTGTGCACCTGAACAGGTTGCGTTTGAGCACAAGTGACCAAAATAGGCCTGGGTTATTTGTTTAGGTCACCCCATGGAACAGATCCCTATTACTCCATCAAACAGAACTATACAAGCCATGTTGTTGTTTTCATACATGGTGGTTGGTAGAACTGCCAAAATTAGACAAACTCAAACAGAATAACTTTGTTCATTATTTAAGTCTGTACAGGTAATGCTGAAAAGTAGTTCATGAGTGTGTATAGGTCCTGCAGCCTGAAAGCTGTTTTGCTGTACAAGGGTTGTTTATTGAGTGATCTCAGTCAACTATGTTTACATACAAAGCAGCCAGAGTTCAAGTGCTGACTGTGTTGATCCATCAGCAAAGAAAACCATGGGAGGGGCACGGCTCTGGCAAATCAAGGCCCCGTTTTGTACTCAAGTGTTGCCATTTCACCCAAATATTTTCTGCTTTTATACCGGGAACAAGACAATTTGTACCCTTGTACTTAACCAATGAATTTAAATATATCTTAATTTATCTAATAATAATAACACACTGCATAAATTTCTTATAAACCAAAACAATACATAGACATTACTTAACTACATATGCAGTAGACCAGGGGTACCCAACCACAGGCTTTCATATTCTTCAAGTCATAAAGTTTATAAATTCGATTAATTAAAAAATACCAGCTAACAGATCATGAGCATGCTAACAAGCTCACTGCAGTAAGCAATGAATTAATTGCATGACAAATTAAAATAAGTTTGATCATTTCCATTCTGATTGAACTCTTGTTTATAGAGATGTCAAAACCAATTTTATGTAAAGTTTCAGTTATGTTTGGTTTATAATTCAGTTTTATTTATTGTTTTGTTTTATCTTGGATAGTTACAATATCTTACAGTTCCAGTGTTAAATGTTAATTACAGAATTAAAGTTTATTAATCTTTGAGAGAGGAAACTTATTATCATAAATATGTTACTTGAAAAAAGTCTTAAAATATCACTATTGTTCATCGCAGTAATTACTGGGACAAATGATTGTCCAGAAAATTTGTTTTTTTTTGACGGCCTACATGTTGACCTTATTCAAACCTATTGGTTCCAGAGTGTTTACCTGCAGGTTGGGTCTCTGACACTTGGCTCTCCAGTTTCTTTTGCTTTTCCATCTGTTCCACGCAGCTCTTTTCTACCTTCACCTCATCATCATCATCCAACACCTCCTCCATAGCCTTTTCCAGCTGATCACTTCCATTCCACGACATCTGGGGGTGGGGGGGACAAAATATTACAGGAGCAGGCTATTTTGAGCTTATGACTACACAGAATCACATAAAATTCATCCACAAATGTATTCAGCGCAGTTTAGAGACTGTATATTTGGTGCAAAAGACCACTTAATCTTGTAAAATATTGAAAGGAAGAGTTTTGTCTTATATTTTGCAACTTCAAATTTACTCAAAATATCTCAGGTGTGACTAACTTTGTAGATTATGGGAACAATTAAACTAATTTAGTGATCACATGGTGCTCATTTCTGACCTTGAGTCTCGGTCTGCCCTCAGAGCCCTGCGGTGAACTGGCCGAGCTGGACTGCACTAGGACAAACTCTTCACTGGTGACGGTGGCCACGGACTCTGTAGAGCTGCTGACTTTGCCCAGTGAGGAGCTGTCATCCATGGCTAGCAGGTTCACTCAGGATCAGGATCTAAGGGAGACCAAGGTTAATGTTCTCCCCTTCCCTCCTGTCAGCCCAGCTGTGTTGGATGGCAGCCTGCATGAAAAACAAAAGGAACTGGATTAGAAATGCGGCACTCGCATGTGAATACAAAGAGCAGTGAGGCTCCTTCAGACTCAATATCCTATTGGCATGCAAAATGTGAACTCATGATATTGTTGCCTCCCAAACAATCATATAGCTACATTCACAATAGAGTGTCCAACCCTTAAAAGTTCATTATGAAATACAATGAAACAGTTCAGCACATAAAATCAACAAATATGGGTCACATTCTGACCAACAGCTTGCTGATTTCATTGAAAGCTACTGCAACAAGTAAGACAGGTTTATGCAACATCTGAATTAATGATACCTGTTAGGATGGAAGGACCCACTTGTTATATAACAACATATTCAGTTGCATAATTCATAAGATTTAACTGCAGCAACAGTCTCTGAAAGCCCAGCTGAGCAGTTAATACAACCATTGAGTTTCCATTAATGACACTTTATGATGGTTATATTTTTAAATATGTTATTTATGTATAACTGAGTGTTCATCCAGCACTTTATGTTAAATTAAACTTTGTACAGAACGTTTAAAGTTTGTCAAAATGCTACTTAAGATAATTATTCTTGTTGTTACTTTTACTAAAAATAAGTGTTTTTTAATTAAATTAAAAATTATTTTAAAAAACTCCGTAAGATATTGTTAATATAGGTGCATCTCAAAAATTAGAATATCATCATGAAGTTTCTTTATTTCTGTAATTTAATCGAAAAACTTGAACTATTACTAT